TCCTTCAAGACTCAACTCAAATGTCACTTGAAAGAGACCATTCCTGGTCCCCCTACTTCCTAGTGCCTTCCCTCTCCAAAGTTACTTTGTATCAATTTTGTATTTAACTACATATAAATGTGTTGCCTCCTCTATAAGAATGTAAACATCTTAAGGGAAGGCTTTATTTTTACTTTTTCTTTGTTATCTCCAGGCTCAACACAGTGCTTGGCACATAATAAGGGTTTAATAAATGTTTGGTGATTGATTCATTGGTCTAAAGAATAAAGTGAAAAGAGAAGCAAAAAATAACAAAGTTTCAAGACTGAAGGAACAGAACAATAGTGCAATCAACAGAAGTGGTAAAGTCAGGAAGGGAAACTGGTTTTGGTGAAAAAATGATGATAAGTCTGGTTTACAACATTATAGATCCTCAGAGCTGAAAGGCACTTCAGAGGTCATCTAACGTGAACCATACTTGATCATAAATTTTCTCTACAGTTTCTCCAGGAAGTACCCGCTTGAAGACTTTCAGTGATGGGGAACTCACTCACTCCTGAAGCAGTTCACTCCAGTTTTGGACAGCCATACTAATGAAATTTCCATTTTTATATCATGCCTAAAACTTCTTCTCTGCAAACTGTCACCATTACTCCTAGTTCTGCCACCTAATGCCAAGTAGATGTCTAATCAATCCCACTTTCAAAAGATGATTTCTTAAATACTTAAAAGCTACCATGTCTTTCTTAAATCTCTTCTCCAGGTTAAATATCATCAATTCTATTAACTACTTATATGTCACTCTTCACTTGTTCATACAAGTCTTTCCAAATTTCTCTGAATTTCCCATATTCATAATTTTTTTATGGCTCAGTAAAATTCCATTATGTTCATATGTCCCAATTTGCTCACCCACTCCCCAATTAACAGGTTCCTATTTTGTTTCCGGGTCTTTGCTACAACAAAAAGTGCTGCTACAAATATTCTTATACATGAGTCCTTTCCCTCAGTCCTCGACCTCCTTGCAGTACATGACTAATAGTAATACTGCTAGGTCAAAGGATACATACAATTAAGTGACATTTTGCAAATAATTTCAATTTTTTTTCCAGAATGGTTGAACCAATCCACAGAATTAGTGTAGCAAGTATTTACAGAGCATATATTGAGGATCAAAGAGTTTAGGGCTAGAAAAGACCACAGAGATTATCTAATTTAATACCCTTTTTAAATTTTATTTATTTTTATTTATTTTTTGTTTTTGTTAGGCAATAGGGTTAAGGGACTTGCCCAGGGTCACACAGCTAGTAAGCGTTATGTGTCTGAGGCTGGATTTGAATTCAGTCCTCCTGACTCCAAGGCCAGAGCTCTATCCACTTTGCCACCTAGCTGCTCCAATACCCTTATTTTACATAAGAGAAAACAGAGGCCCAGAGAGGTTAAATGACTAGCCTCAGGAGAATAAATAATCAAACACTAACTAAAGCACTGTATATTAAGTCAATCGATAAAATGTTCTTCATTAAAACTGTTTCTGTGGAGGGTATCACCATCCTCTTAATTACCAAAATTTGCAACCTGCGTGTCACTCTCAACTCTCTTCTTTTCCTTATCCTCATATTCAATCAATCACTAGGTCTTGCCCGTCCTACCTCCACAATACATTTCCCAATTAGTCTCTTTCTCTCTAGTTACACAGCTACTTTTCTAGATTAGGCCCTTATCACCTCATTCCTCTGGCTATACTACTTTGAGATCTCTCCACCATGTCCCCACACTGGGTTACTTCCCTTGCTCCCTCCTTTCAACTTCCTTTTATATGTTGTCTTTTCCCATTAAATTGCAAGCTCCTTAAGGGCAAGGACTATCTATTTTTTTTTAAAAATGTGTATCCCCAGCACTTAGAACAGTGCCTAGCACATGGTAGGCACTTCATAAGGATTTACTGATTACTGACTATAGTAATAACCAATAGGTCTTTGCTCTCTGACTTATCCTCTATATTGTATAGCCAAAATAATCTTAAAGGTTTCAATATCATCAGTGATCACCTATTTCTATTAATATAACTTATAAGCTTCTCAACCCAACATTCGAAGCCCTCCACAATCTGGGTCCAACTCATCTTTCTAAACTCAATTCACAATTACTTCTCTTCATCTACTCCACATTCCAGTCAAAGTGACCTATTCCCAGAATATCACATGCTGACTCTTCTTTCCATGCCTCTGTATAGCCTTGCTCATATTCCTGGAATGCATTTTCCAATCTCACTACTACTTCTTAGAGTTCCTAGATTCCCAATTTGGATTTGTGCAAATAAATTGATTTATACAAATAAAATCATCCATATTATTTGACCCAGATAGTACACTGCTAAGTATATACATATGTACCCCAAGGTGGTCACTAATAAAAAGAATGGATTCATATACATCAAAGTATTTGCAGTAACACTTTTTGTGGTAGTAACAAAGTGGAAACAAAGATGATGTCTGTAAATTGGGGAATACTTAAACAAATTGTGGTACATGAATATAATGGAATATTACTATACTATAAGAAAAAATTGAACATGCTGAATACAGAGAAGCATAAAAAGACTTCAATATACACTGACAGTGTAATGAAAAGAAAAACCACAAAACAATTAAAACTGAATGTCATGAAATTATAAAGGACAAACTTGACCCAAAAGAAGATGTCTGAGCAGATAACCTCTTTTCCATCCCCACACCCATTCCTTTTCATACAAGAGGTCTACATATATGAAGCCCTGAAAATAATGTCAGATTTTTTTCAATATGTTAATCGGTTTTGCTTATTTTTTTCTCTTCCTCTTTAAAAAAATTTTCGCTGCAAGGGAAAGGAGAGGGGGAAGAATACAAGAGGAAATGTAGGTAGCATAAAAACAAAAAATACCAATAAAAACCTATTTTAAAAGTAAACACAGATAAAAGAATCCCTAGTTTCCTTCAAGACTCAGTGAGGTGTCGCTTCATATCTATCTTGTTAGATCCTCCCAACATGTTGGTGCTGTCTCCCTCCCTTCTAAAATTTCTTTAAAAAAATTATTATGAATTTAATCACCAACAAACTCAAAAATTGTAATTAGAAAGAAGAAAAAAGATTGCATGTGAAACCAATGAACCTTTGTTATATACAGTTTCTTTGAAAAGAAGTACACATTAAATTGAATAAAGTTATAACAAAACTGACCTATTTGTATATCTTTATGAATTTTTTTGTTCTGGTTACTTTGTATCTACAGCAGAATCTAAGTTACTTGAGAGCAGGAACTATTGTTTCTGTCTGTACACCCACATTGCCTTGTACATAATAAGCAATTTAATAAATGCTATCTGAATTGAAGTAAAAACATTACCTTATTCTCCTTAATTCAGATTCTCAGGCAATAAACTTGGAAACAGAGATAAAATTTGGGAATCTCTAATCCTCCCTGTGGGCTTCTCTAACTTCCCAAGTAACCTAACTTAGATTTGGAGTTAGAGAGTTCTTTGCTCCATGGAGATTTAAAAAACAAATACAGTCCCTACCAATGCCAAAACTAATAACAAAATATCTAATGAGAATAGGGGAAATAATTCATAGACATGAATTTCCAGCATAAGATATTAACTAGTTTTTTTTTTTTTTGGTTAGGCAATTGAGGTTAAATGACTTGCCCAGGGTCACACAGATAAATGTCAAATGTCTGAGGCCAGATTTGAACTCAGGTCCTCCTGATTCCAAGGCCAGAGATCTATTCACTATTCCACCTAGCTGCCCCCCAGATATCAACTAGTCTTAAGAAAAAAGACTCCACATACATTACAGGGATATAATCTTAATTTAATCTAGAAGTGTGATTACTATCAGATATAAACCAGACTTTAGTTCTAATACAGCAACTCATAAATACAGTTGACATTTATATAGTGCTTTAAACCAAAGCCTGTATTATCTCATTTGATCCTCATAATAACCCCTTTAAAGTACTATATGTATTATTCCCATTTTCTACAGGAGAAAACTGATGATGAAAGAGGTTAAGTGACTTGCCCATGATCACACAAATAATAAGTTTTAAGTGTCAGTGGTAGGATCTGAACCACGGTGTTTCCTAGGTCTATATCTCTTTTCACTATGCTATACTGTCCAGTCAATCCAAAATACACATTATTGAACAATTTATTTCTTCTTTTAAAAAAATGAAGTAACTTTTAAATATGTTTTTATTTGATTTTTCCCCCCTGTGGAGCAGTGACCCTGGCTCTTACTAAGGCAAAATTTCTCTATCTTATTAGAAGTAACAGTCATACTAGAATAAAAATTTTAGAGCAAGAGAGAACCCCCTACTTTTACATATGAGAAAAGTTGAAGGCAAATTTATAGGAGGATATGAGCAAAAGTCACCCAGGCTGGACAGGCATGGATAAATTGCAATATATAATCACTGGAATGATACATTGATGAAATCACAGATCCATCAAATGTCCGTTTTTACTACTCCCATTTACATGCAAGGAAATTGAGGCTCAGAGAGGTAGGGTAACTTGCCCAAGGGCACATAGCTCTATAGTGGTAAACCTGCATAAGAATGAATGTTGCAGGACTCAGAGTCCGGTAGAGAAGCTGTAATACCACCCATACTTTAGAGTTAATTTTATATCATACACTAAAAACCTAATGACAAGATGTGAAATGTACAAATAAAATTATAAATCCTAATTCCACCATTAAGTATTTAATTTATACTGTTTTGGGATTAACATGAATTATATAATTTTCTAAAACACTGCATTTTCTTTTTGCCACTATATAATCTTACATTGAGGCAGAAAGGTAGGGAAATAATTTCTAAGTATTTAACAATAACTTAAAAATAAACCAAATAACTTGATTTCATTATTTAAATTTATGCTTTTATAATACCCCCAAACAAATCTTATAACAAGATAATTTTTAAAAATGTTTTCCTTTGAAAGCAATATGAATAATCTATTTTGTTCAACACTAACCTAAATATTCCATCAGCTGTTCAGCAGTTATGATTTCCATCATTGGTGGGAGTTTTACCTGAAAGATAAAGGATTACTTCAATAACATAAAAACATTGCATAAAAATAAATTTTAATTGCTTAATATAACCAAAATTTTAAGTTGATATGTCTACATCTTTTACAGTACCTCAGGTATAAATATTTTAATAATTGTTTTTAGATGCATTACATTTAACAAAATTTTTGTAAATTTATCAAAATTTCTTACAAAACCAACTAGCTAAGAAGATGGCACAGGTGTCATGAAAATTTCAGCCCCTAAGGTACAGGCTAGCAGTAATCTGCTATGATCATCAACTAGCCTGACAGGCCTATAAAACTATTAACAGGTACCAAACCACCATTTCATTGGTGAGTTTATCTCCTCCACAGAACGTTTTACAAACCACCCCCATCTGAAAGTGATCTCTTCGTCCACAAATTTCTCATAACACTGTTTGGATCTCTCTTTTGCATTTGATATACTTTATTTAGTATTAGAACTATTTGTTTATATGTCTTAACCCCACTTTTTTAAAAATTAATTTTTGATTTATCAACAATCACTTCCACAAGTTTTTGAGTTTTACATTTTTCTCATCCTCCCTCCTCACCTTCCTCCCCAAGATGGCGCACAATCTGATGTAGGCTATAAACATATACATTCCTATTAAACATATTTTCACATTAGTGATGTTGTAAGGAAGAATTAGAACCAATAGGAAGAACCAGAAGAAAGAGAAAACGAAACAAAACAGAAGAAAAAAAATAGCAAATAGTACGCTTCCATCTGCATTCAAACTCCATAGTTCTTTCTTCAGATGCAGATAGCATTTTCCATCATGAGACCTTTGGAGATGTCTTAGATCCTTGCATTGCTGAGAAAAGCTAAGTCTGTCAACATTAGTCATCTCATAACATGGCTGTTACTGTGTACAACGTTCTCCTGGTTCTGCTCACTTCACTCAGCATTAGTCCATACAAGTCTTTCCATGTTTTTCTGAAGTGTGCCTGCTAGTTATTTCTTACAGCAACCCTACTTTTATAATCTATGTTTCTTAAGGAGATAGCCTATGCCTTCTTTTTCATTCTTTTCTTTTTTACCAAATATATGTTAACAGCTAAATAAATCTAATGTCCACAGGACACTGCCTTTACTGTCTTCTGTGCAGCCATCTTGCTTAGGTGAGAAGACCTCAGTCATGAGTATGCTAGCACCCTGAGCCTTCCATCTTAAAGCTTCTTCTACCTCCTGCTGCCAGCCCAATCTCCCAACTGGGATGTGGAGAACCTCTGATGCAAACAGCTCTCCCTCTGACTTCAGACCTCTCATCTCCTGCTGCATCTGTCCTGTGATGGTAGAAGAGTGGCACCTTCCACTAAATGATGAACATTCTCACACCTTCACACTCTTTACATTTCAGTGATTCTGAACTCCTGTAGATCATCATCCAAACCCTACTCAAACCCAATCCTTTATTCCCATCCCCCCCCAACTCTCCCACCTCAAAGTTTCATCCTAACTCCACCCAGCCCTTTCACTGTGCCCTCTAGAATGCCTGTTCCATAGGTAACAAATTCTACCTTCCATCTTAAATCTATTCCTCTTCCACTTCTTCCATCTACCAGCTCTTACTGAAATCTGGCTTTCCCCTGATGACACAGCAACCCTGGCCACCCTTTCCAGTACTGCCTGCCCGTTCACCCAGCTCACTTGTCAAGGGATAGGAGTTGGAATATTCCTTGCTCCCCACTGCCACTTCTAGCCCTTCCTCCCCATTCTTCCTTAATTGAGTCAACCTCTCTTAAGGTTCATGCTATTCATATCTATCACCCAATCAAAATCCTGATTTTGTCTATAAAACCTCAGGTCATTCCCCTTCCTTGCTCAATGAGCTTGATACCTGGCTTATAATTTTTCTTGCCTCCCCAACTCCTGCATTTATACTAGGGGATTTCAACATACATATTGATTCTCCCTCAAATATCTAGTCATTCAGTTCCCTAGCCTACTCTCCTCCTAAGAGCCACTCCTCCATCCCACCTTACTCACACACAAATATGATCATATTCTCAATCTTGCCACTCACAAATGTACCACCTCTATGTTCAAGAATTCTGAAATCCTCTTATCCAACTATAATCTATTGGCTTTTCACCTCTTCCTTCCATTATATAACTCTTCTCTTCACTCTCACTGTGACCTCCAAACCCTTGACTCCTCAATTCTCTCCCAGACCATCTCCCCTGCACTATCCACCCTCTCCTTTTCTCCCCATCTTGATTCCTTGGTGAAGCAATTCACTTCTATACTGTCCTCCTCTCTTGAATTGCTAGCCCCATTATCATATTACAAATTACGCCTAGCCAAGCCTCAGCCTTGGCTCACTCCCATTATTCATCACCTTCATGCCTACATACATGCTACTAAACAAAGGTAGAGAAAATCACACAATTATTCTGACTGGGTTCACTACAAATCTGTGTTACAGAACCCTGATTGGGCTCTCACTGCTGCTATGAGATACCTCCTTTATCAACTTACTATCTTACTATCCAAAGCAGCTCTCATGTACCTTTTCATCTCTACTTAAACCACCCCACTCCACTCTCTCAGTGGAGAATCTTGCTTCATATTTTACAGGAAAAAAAATGAGGTCATTTGCCATGAACTCTGTCTTCTCGCTTCTTCCTTCTCTCCTATCACCCAGGTGCATTCTGCCACTTTCTCCTCCTTTACCTGTTTCATGTGATGAAATGCCTTATTCCTTACCAAGGCTAAGTTCAAGTGATCCCATTCCATTTCATCTCCTCCAGCAAATTGCATCCTCTGTCACCCCCACTCTCATACTTATTTTCAATGTCTCTTTCTCTCTACTGGCTCATTTCCTACTACCTACAAACATGTCCACATATCCCCTATCCTGAAAAAACCCTCACTTGATCCTTCCGTCATTGATAACTATTGTCCTATTTCTCTTCTCATTCTGTCCTTTGTAGCAAAACTCCTCAAAAAGGCCTTCTACAATAGGTGCCTCTACTTTCTCTCCTCTCACTCTCACCTCCCTGGGGTTAAGAGACTTGCCCACAGTCACACAGCTAGGGAGTGTTATATGTCTGAGGCCAGATTTAAACTCAGGTCCTCCTGACTCCAGGGCTGTTGCTCTGTCCACCTAGCTGCCTCATCTCTCACTCTCTTCTTAACCCTTTATAATCTGGTTTCTGACTTATCATTCCACCAAAACTGCTCTCTCTCCAAAGTTATTAAGGAGCTCTTAGTTGTCAAATGCAATGAATGGCCTTTTCTCAATCTTCATTGTTCTTAGTCTCTCTATAGCCTTTAACACCACTCAACCCTTTCTCTTCCTTGATACTCTCTTCTCTCTAGGTTTTCAGGACATCATTCTCTCCTACCTATCTCACTGCTCCTTCTCTGGAGCCTCTTCCAGATCATATCCTCTAACTACAGGCGTCCTTCAGGATTCTATTCTGAGTCTTCTTCTCTTCTCCCTTTATACTACTTCACTTGGTGATCTCATTAGCCCCCATGGGTTTAATTACCACATTTATGCTGATGATTCTCAAATCTACTTTTCCTGCCCCTAATCTCACATCTCCAACTGCCTTTCAGAAATTTCAAATGGGATGTCCAATTGAAATCTTAAATTCAATATGTCTAAAACTGAACTCATGATCTTTCCCCTAAACCCTCCCCAACTCCTACCTGCTCTATTCCTGTAGAAGGCAATACCATTCTCCCAGTCCTTCAGGATCACAACCTAGGAGTCAGCCTAGATTCCTCACTATCTCTGACCCCTGTCCTTCCCTCTCCTCCCATAGACAAGCTGTTTCCCAAGGCCTACCAATTTCACCTTTATAACATCTCTCAAATATGTCCCCTTCTCTGCTCTGACACGGTCACCACTCTAGTGCAGGCCCTTATCTCACATCTTCATTACTGAAATAGCCTGCTGACGGGTCTACCTGTTGCAAATCTCTTCCCATTCAAAGTATTCTCCATTCAGCCACTAAAACGATTTTCCTAAAATGCCGATCTGATCATGTCACACAGACACCCCCCCCCAATAAACTCCATGGCTTCCTACTGCCTCTAGGAGCAGAGATTGTGTTTTGAGTATTTTTGTATACCCAGTGTTTAGTACAATGCTTAGCAGAGAGTAGGAGCTTAATACATGTTTACTGAATATTGATAACTTCTAGAATTCATTCACTGAGTTGTAATGTTACATTCTTAGATATGAGTTCCAAACAAATTTTTTCTAACTTCATTTTTTCCCCTGTGTTATAGACTATTGGACCAGGACAGTTGATTTTTAACACAAATTCTGTATCATTTCCTTCAGGCATTAACTCATCTTTTGGCACTGGTAACACCTGGTCTCATGCATAATTTTCAGATATGTTTTTAAACTAAAACGTTTTGATTTCGGCAAGTGAGCCATTCTGTTGAATAACAACACTGACAGAAGAGAAAGATCTCACTTTGCACCAAAAATGCCTTTGATCAGGCTTTGCACATTATTATAGACTAGGCAAACTGTAACTTAGTTCCTTAATATTTTTCCACCATTTGTCACTTGGAGCTTTAAATTTTTTTTTAATTTTTAAAACATATATGCATATATACATATATATTTATTTTCCCCCCAATTACATGTAAAAAACAATTTTTAGCATTTGTTTATGAAAATTAAAAGTTCTAAATTCTCTTCTTCCCTCTCACTCATCCCCCCCATTAAGAAGGCAAGCAATTTGATATACATTGTATATGTGCAGTCATGCAAAACATTTCCATATTAGTCATGTCATGAAAGAAAACACAGATCCAAAACATAATAATAAAAAATAAAGTAAGAAAAGTATGCTTCAATGTGCATTCAGACTCCATCAGTTCTTTCTCTGGAAATGGACAGCATTTTTCATCAGAAGGCCTTCTGAACTGTCTTGGATTACTGAGAATAGCTAAGTCACTCACAGTTTTTCAACGTACAATATTGCTGTTACTGTGTACAATGT